GGGTAGTACGATTGAAATCGCACGGGCGTGAACCACGCGGACGCGCAGTTTTTCGAGTCTTGCCAGATAGCGAGGCCCGTGCCAGTCAATCCTTCTGACCCTCCGACGTGCAAGAGATACGTGCCTTGCGCGACCTGGTAAATCGCGAACGATTGCTATAGCGAGGGCCGCAAAATCCTGAAGTAGGATGTGTGTGTGTACCAGTGGTGGCGTGGATTCCGCTACCTTGGCATAGCCCATTTGAGGAGGCAGAGCCACCCTCAAGAATCAGGGGCGGTTGCACGATGGATGGATCACTTCTTCCTCACGGCTCGGCGGCAGAGCCCAGAAGCGGGCGAATTGCGATACCGATTAGCACGCCGCTGGCCCCTTGAAAGGTTTTGCTTCCTAGTCGCTTGCGTTGGGACGTTCAGCCAAATGAGATCCATCGAGTCGGTGGAGATCGCCACGCACAGACCTAACAGCAATACCCGGACGAGTCCACAGGTTTGCGGCCGCATCAGGAGTCGTTGCTGGCGTCCTCCGCCGCAGATCAAATCCGATGGGCACCCGTGCCGACAGTGGGCCTGCCGGAAGGCCCGGCGCACCTTGTGTACCCGCCACGCCAAAGATGGGAAATTGCGCATGATGATCGCGCAGCCGCGGAAGAGGAGGTGGAGGAGCTGCGGGTCGCGCCTGCCTGGTGGGGGGCCCAGCCCAGGGTCACCTCGAAGTCGGGGTGGATCACTAAGGTTGCTGGTGGCTCGGTTCGGCGCCGGGCTGAGCTGCAGGTGATGGCGTGCCGCCTCGGCATTGCCATTCTGCAGGCGCTTGCTGGCCTCTGCGGGGCCGGCCGCGGCGGCGGGTGGGCTTTCGGGGACGCTGTCCATTCGCCGAGAGCTTTCCGGGGCCTCCCCCCCCTCCCCTCCCTGCCCCCCTCGGCGGGCGGCGGCGCGGCGGGCGGCGGGACGAGCGACGCCGACGTTGACGACCTCCCCCCTCTTCCTCCTGGTGGTGGTGGTGGTTGAGGTGTCGGTTGCTGCCGAAGTGGCTCGCTCCGGTCGTCACATGACGTCATTCCCGCTTCGCGCCCGGGCCCGGGGGCGTCATAATTCCGCTTAGCGCCCGGGCCCCTCGGCTCGGGGGCTTTTCAAGATGTTTCACAGCGCTTCGCGCTGGCCCCAGCAGCCAGGGCAAAGGCACCCTGCTGCTGTCATTTTTGAGGTGGTGGAGGAGGAGGTGGTGGAGGAGGAGAAGGAGGAGAAGGAGGAGGAGGAGGAGGAGGAGGTAGGAGGAGGAGGAGGGCGGTGGTGGAGCAGGAGGAGGTTGGAGCAGGGTAGAGGGGGGCGGGCTGGACGGTGGAGGAAGAGGAGGAGGAGGAGGAGGAGGAGGAGGAGGAGGAGGAGGAGGAGGAGGAGGAGGTGGTGGGTGAAGGATGAGGGGGAGTAGGAGGAGGGGGTTGACAGCTAGGTGCGCTGGCGTCACATCTGACGTCCTTCCCCTTCCTCCCATCCCTTACCATGGCGCAGATCTCCTATCTATTCGCAAATTCGGATGTCGAGCAGGGCAATGATCCCAAGAGGGTACACGATCGATGGAAAATCATGGTGTACAAGAGCACGGCAGGAAGCATGGCATCGCACAGCTGTGCACACCACAGCATCGCATTGCATGCCGTGGCATGGCACCGGATGACTTGGAGGTCAAGCGGCCCGTCTAAGATTAAGTCGGGCATGTCCCTCTACAGGGGGAATCTTCTTACATAGCCAAAATAGTCCGGGCCGTTTTTTGTTTAAACAAAACAGAAGAGAAAGAATATGGATTACTTCTTTCGAGTATGTGTTAAGTAGTTTTGATTTTTTCGTCCAAAATCCGCCTGTACGGGGACATGCCCGACCTAATGTACTAGAGGACAGGGGCTGTCCTGAATGCCAGCTCCATATCCTGCGCAACCGTGCTTGCCCGATGTTGGCGCTTTCGAATGCCAAGTGCCGTTCGGAGGCGCGGGAACGAGGCCAGCGCTGCCACTGGAACACGATTCTGAATGACCGAAACGCGGAAGTGAGGGCGGCGCTGCAGCGGGAGCACCATTTTGAAAGAAGTGAAATCCTGTGTAACAATCCAGGCGCGGAGAGGACGGGACACTCTCTGGACAGAGTCAGGGGAGAGAGGAGAGCAGCATTCATGTTGTGTATTTGTGGAGGGTGCGGGGGGCGGGCTGGAGGGTAGAGGAGAAGGGGGGTAAACGAGGCAACCGTGCCGGAGGCGGCGGCGCCAGCGAGGCTCCGAGGAAGCCGCCCGCCCGCGCGCGCGGGCGGCGCTCCGCCCGCGCGGCACCGATGAGCGCCGCAGGGCCCCCGTGGCGCGGGCCCTGCAGCCTCTGCGGCAGGCGGCGGCCAGGCGCCGACCAGCCGGCGGCCCGATTCCTCTTCGGCTACACGTGAGAGTGGCCCTTCGCCGGAGTGGCCCTTCCTTGTTTTCCCGCCACCCCCAGAAGTTGGAGGGGGAGGGGGTCCTCCTCTTCTTCCTCCTCCTCCTCCTCCTCCTCCTCCTCCTCCTCCTCCTCCTCATCGCCCTCCTCGTCCTCCTCCTCCTTCCCCCCACCCAACTTCTGGTGGTGGTGGTGGAAAACAGACCCATCATCTTGCGCGCCTGTCTTTGGTCTCCCCGCGGCTCCCAGAAAGCCGCGCACCAAAGACCAGTCTTACCCAGGGTCACTCTTGCTCCGATTCGATGCCGTTCCGATTATGACGTTCTGGCGATCCGATCAGATTCGATTTCGACGTTCTCACGATCCGATCGGGCCGGACGCCTGCATGGCGTTGCTGTGCATCCTGGCGCGGGCGATCCGACTCGATTCTGACACTGTGCCGATGCGGCCCGATCCGACGCACGTTCTGATCCAATCCAATTTCCCGATTTTGATGCTGACTGACACGATCCCCTTGGCATCGGGGATTGTGGTGCGTCCTCGCTGGTTCTTGGAAGTTTTCTTGCCTCGGGATGCCTCCAATGCAGTCCCCGGGGGGGGCGTTTGGGGATCGCCCTTCTTCCTTCTTCTACCAGACGTGAGTGGCCAGCGCTCAAGCTCCCACCCAACATGTTTCACCGTAGTCGCCGTATGCCCCTCGGCGGGACGGCTTCTCCGGAATTGGCCTGCAGGTTGCACATGTACCTGTTCCCGACCCCTTCTCTGGGTGGAGTTTTTCGTCCCGGGTATATTTTCATGGTTCCAGGGCCCACAGGCGTCCGCCAGGTGCCAGAATCAAAGAAAAACGCAAGGATTGAAAGCATCCAATCGTCGGATCTGTGAGGGCCGCAGCCGTTGGCGGACATGACTAGGACCAGTACAAATCCGCTCCCGAGCGTTAGCGCTCTCAGAGCGCTCCAGGATGCTCTGAGCAGGCTGCGGCGGCCGAGACGTCCTCCAGAGCCGCCAGATCCCAGAGATTCTCGATCTGTCCTCACCCGAGTTTGTCCTCGTCCTGACCTCGTCTTGCGCTGGTGAGCGCGGAGGCGCCTCCAGCGCCGCCGCCGGCGCTGCGGCGGCCGCTGCGCCGCCGCGTGGCGCAGCGGTGGCGGCCGAGCTCGCCCCCCTCTCCCCCGAGGAGCGGCTCCTGGCCGCGGGCCCGCGGCCCCAGCGGCCTGGACCGCGCGCGGTCGGCGGCTGGCCGCAGGAGGAGGCGGAGGAGGAGGAGGGAGGAGGAGGAGGAGGAGGAGGAGGAGCAGGAGGAGGAGGAGGAGGGGGAGGAGGTGGAGGAGGTGGAGGAGACGGAGGAGGAGGAGGAGGAGGAGAGGGCAGATGCCTGGAAATCCGCACCAACACCCCAACACAAGGGGTTGCCTCCACAGGGGGAAGATGATCCTAGACTTCGGTGCTGGTGGTAGTACGTCGGCCACCTTGGAAGCCAGAGTTATTACCACCCTCACCGAGATCGGGATCTTTTGCCCTCGGTGGAAGCACACCGCCGATGTTGGTGTTGGTGTCAACCTCTAGGCCTGCGACAGACGGCCCCGCTCGGCGGCCGAAGTGTCGGCCCGTGTGCGGCCGCGCGGAGGTCGCGGTCGCTCGCTCGGGCGCGGCCGCGTGGGGCGTCGGCGGAGTTTCGGGGGGCTCTGGCAGAGGTCTTGCGCGGAGGTCGGCGGGAGGCGGGTCTCCCCGGGTAGCTCGGGCCGAACGAAAGGGGGGGATAGGGAGAGGGGGGGGGTACGAAATCTGCTGAATGCAGCTGGTTTCGGCCCCGACGCCGGGCCCATTCCTCGATACATGGGCGCCTCCCGGCGCAGGTGCCGGGAGGCGCCGGAAAATCAGCTACGTGAGCTGATTTTCACCCCCTCCCCTTTGCTATCCCCCCCTTTCGCCCGGCCCGAGTATATCGCTCAGGATGATGAGGTGGTGCCGGGGGAAGGTTCTGGGGTCCAGGGCCCGTTTCCCGCAGGGTCGCAGGGTCAAGGGAGAGCCGGTTCGGGAAGTGGGCGTAGTTCCAGGATCGATGGGGAGTGTGCCCTCGGAAGTACAGTCGAGCATCCGATCAAACAACCTCGCCCCCGAAATGCTGGGCAGGCCTTTCTTAACCGACTTGCTGGAAAGCTGGCCCAGTTTCTTGCGCACGTTTGCCCCTCCAGCGTCAACGGAAGTATTTGTCCTAGGCTTGCTTGAAGGAATTGTCAGGAAGTTGTCTCAGATTTCTTGAATGATAGTTTTCGTTGATCCTATGATCGGCTGTAGTTTATTGATCGGATACCAAGACGAGTTAAGCTGCTTCCTGGAGGGCCTCATGGGCCGAGTCGCCTGACCTTCCAGAGGCCCTGATGATGAGGGCCCCAAGAGCCCATGACGGTCCAAGAGGGCCCCAACATTTCCCCAAAGGGGCCCAATAGCCCTGCAAGGGGGCCTCTAATAGGGGCCCCCAGTAAGAGCCCCAAGGCGCCCCAGGGAGTCGTTCCGTAGCTATTTTTGGTGTCTTGGCCAAAGCCGTAGCTGCCGCCTCCAGCCTCCCAGCGCTTAGGGCCCGGAAGCCATGGTGCTTGCTCGCATCGCCGCCTTGCTCGCGCTCGCCACTGGCGCCTGCGCATTCGTGCCGGGGACTGTGCGCGGACGTTCGGCCCAGGCGACGGCGCCCGCGGCCGCTGGCAGCGCGGGCCGTCCCACGTCCTCCACGGAGCCTGCTCCGTTTGGCGCCTGCATCCTGGGCGGGCTCGGCCTCGGGTACGCTGCCGCCGTGGCTTCGAAGGCCAGGACGGCCCGCCGCGCGGAGCCGAAGCCGCAGATCGCGGCGGCACGGACTCCAGTGGCCTACCCCATCTTCACCTTCCGCTGGCTGGCGGTGCATATGCTGGCGGTGCCCACTGTCTTCTTCCTCGGGGCCATCAGCTCCATGCAGTTCATCCAGCGCTAAGTTGCCGCTCCGAGGAGTTTGCGCTCGGCCCGGGGTCGCTGGGCCCGCGGCCAGCCATGAATCGGCGGGGAGGGCATGCATGGCGAACCTCCGCCGCGCACTGTCCACGCTGAGAATCTCTTCAGCAGGGCGCATTTCTTGCGCTGAGGTGGCCGCCGGCGGTGGCGTTCATGTTCGAAGGGGGACTTTGCTCCTACACCCGGCAGCAGTCTGACATCGGGCTTTTTATTCAGGCAGAAGAGTTCGCCAATTAGGCAGCAATCCTTGACAGTCCAGTGTGGCGCCGAAGCGGCGTCGTGGTCGACAGCAAGGTTTTAACCGAACGGCAGTTCGAGGAATTCCCGACGTCGGTCCATTGCACACCTCGTGCGCGTTTTGCTCCCCGAGGGGTCCTACGGAAAAAAGGGTACGCCCCAGTGGGTTGGCAAGAAGCCTTCGAGAGGCTCTCCTTCTCAAAGCTGTGATTTATCGTCATCCGTCCCATGCCTGTCTTGGCATTCCGCGTGGGTCTCTTTGTGTGTTCTTCGCCTCCTTCCTTTTGATGAAGGAAGCAGGCAGGAACAGCTGGAATCAGCAGTTGGATTCCCTCCTTCTGTGTGATTCCTCAAGTATCCCTCGTGCTTCCTTCCTTCTTTCTATTTGTCTTTCCCTTGCCCCACCCTTCTTCCCTCTGCCAGCTCACTCAGTCGTGCTCTGCCTCGTCCTTGCTCCCGTCCTGATATTTTCCGCCCTCTTTGCTCTCCATGCTCTTTCCTCCTCCCCTCCTCGTTTTCTCCCGCCCTCCGTCTCCATACTCATCTCGCTCCTGCTAGTCCCCCTTCCCCTTCCCCAGCTTCTCGCCTCCCAGTTCTCTCGTTCCTCCTCGTCCTCCCCTGCCCCCTCCTTCCTCAGCCCCGTGTCCGACCAAGGCCCAGAGAGGCTCACTTCCTCGCCTTCCCGCAAGTCGTGCCCACTCGTGCTCTGAGGTCGGGGCCCGTTGCTCCATCAGGCTGGGCCCACCTGAGGCCTCCCGGGGGGCCTCCGGAGGCCCCACGCACGGAGACGTCCGAGGGCCTCCGGGGACCCGATCCAGAGGCGGTGGCGATGCGAGGTGGCGAGTGCCCCCACCCCGAGAGGCGAGAGCGACGCCATCTCGCCGCGAGGGGGGGCCTGGAATAAGGACTGCTTTGGACTCAGGGGGTGTTCGGGTGTTTTGGGCCGTTTCTCAGATGTGCGTCGGGGTCCTCGTTCGTGGCCAAGGCTCGGCGTGGTCAGACAGACGCCTTCGTTCGCTCCTCACGTGTCAGCACGATGGTTGCAGACCCCACAGGGCCAGCTCAACATCCCGGGCTCTCTTTTGACACGTGGAGGGCCGCCGAGGCCTGCGAACGGCGAGCCAAGTCCAGGACCCGCTTCCTCCATGCTGCACCACTCCCATCCATGGCCGGTCGTTGGTCCTGCACAGCTGCTTTAAGCAGAGGCGTTTGCCACAGGGTATTCGGAATACACATGCCATCGACCCATGCATGTGCCAGTGAAGGTCCTTGCAATTGGCTCTTAGACCAGAAGGTTTGCCCTCCCAACCTTCACGATCACAGCCTTCAAGGATGGCAGAGCCCAGGTGCCCCACCCGACCCATGAGCGTCATGCTCACCTTCGAGTGCTGGAGATCGTCTGGCACCGGCTGGCGGGACCGTGCGGGCGAACTTGCACACGTGCGGTCAGAAGGGCGGCCTCCCGCACGTGATTGGCGGCCGTCGGCGGACTTCTGTGGCCATGGACCGATCTCCGAGGCGGGAATTGATTGATTCCCGCCGTCTGGGGGACTTGTCGTTGGGGACCTCTGCAGGCGGTGGGTATGGATATATTCGGTCCTTGGGGGCACATCTATCCATATCAACAACTGCTGGCCGAGGTCAGCGAAGGTCGATCCCCCAGGAGGTGTTTCTGGATAACCCCATGCCCCGCGCACACGGGTCCCGAGGTCGTCTTCGAAGGAGAAGGTCGACGCGGATTTTCTGGATCTTGTCTAGGCGCCTTTGGCGGCGCCCCAGGCGCTGCCCTTGGTGTGTTCCGCGCGCCAGGGGAGGGGGGTCCAGTGTCGATCCAAGACATCCGCGCATTCCGAAAGTTTGCATTTGCGCTGATTTATTTGTTTTCCCTGCTCTCGGCATCCTGGAGCCCCCCGCGGGCCTCGGGACCGTCCACAAACGATTCGGAGCTCACAGTTGGTCATTGGGGAAAGCCCCCCATGTCCAGGACTCGTGCCTCGGGGGCGTCCGAAAGGGGGGTGATCCCAAATTTCATGCACCCCTTTTTTTCAACACATTCCGCGGCCCCCTCCTTGTCCGTGCACAGTCCTCGGGTCATGATTCTTTGAGCCCCTCTTCCTGGACCTCCTCTTCGGCGCACCCGAGTGTCCCCCAGGAACGTTTCTGTCGTGGCACCGTAAATCGACAGCATGTTGCATCGTTTTGGGCTGGTCTTCGCACGCATGCTTCTACATGGGTACCCCCTTCCCCCAGCTCAGCATTGGTGGCAAATGGGGAACGGGCTGCGGGAATGTCTGGGGCGATGGACAAACGGTTGCACCACCGTTTCGGCGGCCCCGGACCGTCACCAATATTCAATTAAGGGCGGGGGGTGAGTGAAGCACAAACGCCAATAGCAAACGCGATGTCCAATGTCGCAAACGCCAAGCGATGCAACATTAATTCAGGCTTCAAGCCCGCGGCCAAGAAGAAGAGCTGCGACATCAACTACTCGAAGTGGGACGCCCTAGAGGATACTGCGGCCCCCTCGTTTGCCCCGCGCGACCCCTGGTCATCGCCCCTCAGATAGTACTGGGTGCCCTGCTGATAGTCGTCCACCATCGTCGGAGGGGGGTGAGAGCGGAGTCGTCGTCTTCTCCTTCGTCGTCGTCGCTATCGTTCTAGAATTCGTCGTTGTCGTCGCCGTCGTCGTCGTCGTCGTCGTCTTCGGTCGTCGTCTGTCGTCGTCTGTCGTCGTCTGTCGTCGTCGTCGTCGTCTTCGCCGTCGTCGTTGTCGTCGTCGTCGTCCTCGTCGTCGTCTGTCGTCTGTCGTCTGTCGTCTGTCGTCTGCCGTCTGTCGTCTGTCGTCTGCCGTCGTTGCCGCCGTCGTCGTCGCCTGCCGTCGTTGCCGCCGTCGTCGTCGCCACCATCGCCGCCGCCACCGCCGTCGTTGCCGCCGCCGCCGCCGTCATGCCGTCGTCCCGCCGCCGCCATCGTCGCCGCCATCGTTGACGTCGTTCGTCGCCGCTCGTCGTCGTTGTCCTGCCGTCGTCTTTGCTCGTCGTCGACGCCACGCAGTTGCCACCTTCTCCGCCGTCGTCGCCGCGGCCTCCGTCGCCGTCGCCGTTGTCGCTGTACTACTTCGCTCGTCGCCACCGCCGCCTTCGTCGCCGTCGTCGTCGCCACCCACTGCCGCCATCCTCGCACCCGTGGCGAGGACTCCGACGCCGACGACGACGCGGCGACGGAGGGGGGCAGCAGCGGCGGCGCCGCCCGCGCCGCCGAGGGCCAGCCAGTCGGCGGGGCAGAAGGCGTGCGCCACGGGGCCTGCAGCGGTTCCGATAGGGCTGGGGGCGTTCCGCAGGGAATTTGGAGGGGTCCCTGGGGGGCCTTGACGTGCGGCTGGTCCCTGTCGTTACCCCACTCCCTGCGCCATTCGTCGATAGCGCACCTCTGAGGGAACTGGCTTTGGCTGGCAGGTTCCCCTCATTCCATGCCTCTCCGTTTGCTGCTGTCCCAGTCACGACTCGTTCCAGGCCGCCTCTGCCCCGAGCCGAGGCTCGAAGGGCAATGCGTGAGGCGGGGCGGGGGCACGGGCAAGGGCCGAGGCCTGAGGCACGGTGGCAGGCATGCTTTTGTTTAGCGGGTGCTGCCCCGCCTTTAGTGCCTCCTCGGTGGAGGCTGTGTGCGGTCGGGCCAGGTCTTTCTAGATAGTCTCAGCCAGATGCTCGGTGCGAGTAGTCCAGGGATGCGAGGGGCCTGCGATAGTAGACGCTTCAGCGGGATCCGTGGCTTATTCGTTCGTCCTACTCCCTCACCCTGGTCCTTCTCCCCCCGCCTGCCCACCATCCCTCCTCCCCCTCCCCCTCCCCCTCCCTTCTCTTGCCCCTCCTCCTTTGCCCATTCCCCTCTCGCCCTCTTCTTCCCCTCGTTCCTCTGCTCCTCGCAGCCGTGGTCGCCCAAGGCCCCCGCGCCACCCGCGGGGGTCACAGGGCTCCGGACAAGGCCCCCTTTTGAAGCGGGCGAGGACGAGGCGCGCGCGCGCGCTGCCCCGCGGCGGGCTGACTGATGGTCGCCGCCGCCTGGGAGGAGTGGCCGCAGGGGTGCCCCTGGGCGGCCGCCCGAAAGTGCCACAGGTACGATCGGAATGGTGCGGTGGAACCTTCACGGGCCCACAGAATGACTGGTGGAATTTGGCTGCCAGCAGGCATGATCACATAGGTGTTTCTCGCGTCGCTCCGGCGCCATCGCCAGGCTCTCGTACGGCCTTTCCGCCATCGCCAGGCTCTCGTACGGCCTTTCCCCTGGACGACTGACCGGCGCCTCGCCTCGCCTTGACACGGAAAGAATGGGACGAAGACCGATTGCCATTCATTCCAGTCCAGTTTGAGCAGGGCTCGCTGTCGGCGTCGCCGCGGCAGTTCTTCGTTTGAGGCAACACGTAGCGTGCATTGGGAAGACCTTGCACGGCAGGCGCCGCCGACCCTGAAGGGGGACGACGACCACGACGGCGGCGTCGGCGGTGACGACGACGCTGATGTGTGGCTGAGTCCTCAGGGATACTTCGTGGGGTCTGTTCGGAGCGCGCTCGTAGGCTTCTCGGGGGCAGTTTTGGGGCCTCTTGGGAGCATCTTGGGGGCCTCTTGGGAGCCTCTTGGGGGCCCCTTCGGGCTTCCTGGTGGCCTCTCGGGGCCTCCTGGGAGCTTCTCGGGGTCGAGGGCTCGAACTGTTCGCTCGGGCTCCCATGTGGGCACCCTGGTGGAGCCATTATGGAGTCTTCTTGGGTCGTCTCGGAGGCCTCTAGGGCCGTCTCGGGGCCGTCTTGGGTCGTTTTGGGGCCGTCTCTGGCTCCCCTTCGACTCAATCACGAGGTTGCTCAAGTTCGCTTTGGTTTCGCTTTCGCTCGCTGGCTTGAGGATGGCTCAGTGAAGGGGGGGGAGCATCGACAGGTCCAGGGAGAGCAGGGTCAAACGCGACGGCGACGACGACGAAGACGACGTCGAGTCAAACAGAACAGCGTCTTCCACACGCCGACACGGTCGGCGGATTTGGGGCAACGCTTGCTGTTAGGAATCGTGTCATTTTTTCCGCACCCATGTCGGGCGTGCCAACCGAGGAGGGCAGACACAGCCAACCCGCATAGTAAGAATGAGCAACTCTCCATGGTTACTCTTGCATCCTTGCCCCTTCGTCCCATCCCTTGCAACTTTCGCTGGCCAGCCCCGCTCAAAAAACGTCAACATTGCCATCCAAGGCCTTTGCGTCCTTACCGTGCGTTCTTATTCACTATACGGGGTGATTGTATCGCCAGGAAGCAGACGGGTCACGAGGGAAACGGATCCCGAGGTCTCTCTCCGCTGTGTGGGCCTCCCTTGGGCCCTCCACGCGTGCCCCAGGAGTGTCAGCAAAACGACGCCGCCCACGCGCCAGTGGATGGGGGGTCCAGCGCCGATCCAAGACATCCGCGCGTTTCGAAAGCTCACATTTGCGCTGCTACGTTTGCTTTCCCTGTTCTCGGCCTCCTGGGGTCCCCCGCGGGCCTCCGGACCGTCCACAAACGACTCGGAGCTCACAGTTGGTTTTAGGGGACAGTCCCCCAGCGCGCCAGCGCGGAACCTGGAAAGTCTGTGTGTGCATGCAGCTTTTGTTCCTCGCGCAGGGCCCAAGCACGGAAGGCACGAGCGTGTCTCGCCACGAGCAGGGTGGTTCTCGACCCTCGTGCCAGCGGCAGGTGGTCCGAGAGAGTGCCCCCTCCCCCGCCCAGGCTCGGGCGGTCACCGGAGCCAGACGCGGCCCCCTCGAGGCCGTCCATCACCGCCGGCGTGGCTGTCCTCGAGGGTCACGGGTTCCAGCCGCCAGCGGCGCCGGCAGTCTCCGAAGGGGAGGCCCTGTGGGGCGGCGCGCGGTCAGGCGAGCGCCACTCGCAGACGGCGACGGCGGCGACCACGGCGGCGGCGAAAGCATCAGCAGCAGCAGCGGCTGCTGCGAGGGCGAGGGGAGCGAGTGGGACGTGGAGGAATGGGAGAGGACGGGGGGTCGAGGAGGAGGGAGAGCTACGAGTGAGAGTCTCAAGCGATTGAAACGACAAGTGCATTCGTCAGGTTGTCAAGTCTCGTTTCCAGACGGTTCTTAGCAGGATTAGGAACAGCTGGAGAGAGGCCAAACGAGCCGAATGAGGGTTCCCAGAAGCTCCCCCAACAGCCCAGGACAGCTCCTAGAAGGTCCCAAGAAGGCCCCAAGAAAGCCCCAATAAGGTCCAAAAGAGGGTTCCACTCCCCATGCCATGCGCGCTCGAGTGCGCGCGCCCTGCAGTGTGCAGCGCCGCGCGCGCACCGCCCAAGGGGCACCGAGCGGGCAATGCCCTCCGCATGGAAAACTCCAGCACACGGCAAATGTGCCGACCAATGCACAGTTCAGGCAGCTACTCGTTGGAAGCATGCGACATTGGGCACACGTTCCCGAGCCTGAGTAAAGTTGCTGGGGGGTCATATTGGGCCAGCTTGGGTCTTCAGAGTCGGCGGGCTCAATTGCGTGGGAAGGAGGGGGGTGAGGATGGAGTCTGAGGAGCAGGGAGCAGGTCGTCGTCATCGAACGACGATGACAGAAAGTCAAGATCTTACCCGACGTTCAAAGGCATGACAAACGAGGAAGACAGCCAACGGAAGAGCTGGCGACATCCCTGCGCCTCGAAGTTGTAGGTCAACGCTCGGCGGCGCGGGCGGATTGTCGCCGTTCCTCTCGGCGAGCCTTTGCCGCCTCCCAGTTGGCGGCGATGTGGGCTCCCTGGGAGTCGGTAAGGGAAAGAGGGGCTTCGTGGGGGGGAGGGGGAGATCGGCACCAGGCTGTACGTACCAGCTTCCGTGCACAGGCTGTAACAGCCTCCGTGGTGCTGGCTTCCGTGCACCCGGCTTCCTCTTCAGAAGTTTCAGTCATATTCAGGATGCGATTCCACAGAGAACTGGGCAGGGTAGCACTGCTAGCACACATACCCGGCGGATACACCTCCTTAAAGGCCGTCCGAAAGAGCTCCCGAGGTTTTCTTACCCAGGTAGCACTTGTGCGTTTTGGCATCGTTGGAGCATTTACCATAACTGGGAGTGCACCTTCAAGCAGCGTCGTATAGCGCAGACATGCGAAGCAAAACTATGCATGTGTCGGCACCTTCCACAGAAGCGGGGTGGACATCGGGAGCCTGGAGCTCGCATTGGTCGAACACGGTGGTCGCCACACAAGGCGGCCATCTGAAAGACGTAGGGGCCTTCGGGGCCCAAGTGGTTGGGGCAGGGTGCTCCATCCAAGCCCCCGTTCCCGCACGAAGATGCTCCGCCACAAGGTTGACGAGAGCGATAATAAGCATGTTTCCCATCCTGACCTGCTAACTTTGCTTCGAGCCCTTGGAACTCCCCATATGACTTGAGAGGGCCTGGGGGGAGGTCCAATCTCGTGCCACCTAGAAGCAGACCTGTATTTATAGGGAACGCCCCCCCTTGCTAATAATCCGATAAGCCCGTATATGTTCAGCCCACTCCAAGATCGAAACGTATGCAGGGTGTGCCGAAATGGGGCGGCGGTGCCATGCGAACTTTCTCACTGAGGCCTTAGGTGGAGTTCCCTGTGGGGCCACGAAACGTGTGAAGGTGTGCCGAAATGGGGCGACGTGGCCATGCGAGCGTTCCCATTGGGGCCTTCGGTGGAGCTCCCTATGGGGCCACCAAACTTGTGTAAGGGGTGTGCCGAAATGGGGCGGCGGTGCCATGCGAACTTTCCCACTGGGGCCTTCGGTGTAGCTCCCTATGGGGCCACGAAGCGTGTGAGGGTGTGCCGAGATGGGGCGGCGGTGCCATGCGAGCTTTCCCATTGGGGCCTTCGGTGGAGCTCCCCATGGGGCCACGATACTTGTGTGGGTGTGCCGAAATGGGGCGGCGGTGTCACGCGAACTTTCCAACTGGGGCCTTAGGTGGGGCTCCCTGTGGGACCACGAAGCGTGTGAGGGTGTGCAGAAATGGGGCGGCAGTGGCATGCGCACTTTCCCATTGGGGGGCCTTAGGTGGAGCTCCCTGTTGGGCCACGAAACGTGTGAGTGGCGTGCCGAATTTTGTGGGCGGTGGTGCCATGCGAACTTTCATATTGGGACCTTAAGTGGAGCTCCCTATATGGGGCGGCGGTGCCATGCGAACTTTCCCACTGGGGCCTTCGGTGTAGCTCCCTATGGGGCCACGGAACGTGTGAAAGAGCGCAGAAATGGGGCTGCGGTGCAGTGCGAACGTTCCCATTGGGGCTTTCGGCGGAGCTCCTTATGGGGCAACGAAGCGTGTGAGGGGTGTGCCGGAATGGGGCTGCGGTGCCATGAGAACTTTCCCACTCGGGCCTTAGGTGGAGCATCCTATGGGGCAACGAAACGTGTGAGGGGTGTGTCGTCATCGGGCGGCGGTGCCATGCGAATCTTTCCACTGGGGC